TCATGAAAAAAATTTAAATGTCAGAAAAAAGTTGAAAAAAGCAGATCACAAGGATGTTGAAGAAGCATTACTGAAGTGGTTCAATATTCGAAGAAGCCGCAATCTTCCAGTATCTGGACAAATGTCGATGAATTTGCTAAGTGATTTTATGAGACTACTTTTATGTGCTTGATCGAATGGCAAATTAGTCAGGTTTAAAAAGCGGAATAACAGAAATTCAGGAAAAATTATCTGAGAGTCAGGAAGTGTTTCCTTATCAGATGTTGAGGATTGCTCACCAGCTAAAAATTATTTTTTTTCACACACAAGACGAAGAGTAATGAAAAATAACAAATTTTTTAATACTACATAATATTTTTCAGTCATTTATTTTAATAATATTTGAATAATAAAAAAGGAAGGAGCTTGGGAACCATTAGTTAATTTGCCTGCGTAACGGATATAGTGAACCCCCGGTTATAGTGAACCAAAATTTCGGTCCCTTGAAGATTCACTATAGCGGGGTTTGACTGCACTTATTTTATTTACGGTCCTAAAATTGCATCGTAAAGTCACAGCTCTTATATTTTAAACACAAATTGAGCATCATTTGGCTTGGAAATTGATGCCTCAAAACAGTTACACTAATGGGTTATTGGCGACGGTCATATTTAAGAATGATCTGAGGACAATTCAGCTTAACTACCACAATTTATATCTAAAGACAGATGGTAGTATAGTAATCACCATACTCGAGTTGGGTACTGATTCACTGAATTGATTCGGTGATTCGAATCACCTATTTGCAATTGATTCGAGTCAATAAGTGATTCGAATCAGTAATTTGAATCACCAAGGTGAACTAATACTATTGATTCGAATCACTTAGATGTTTCGTTTTGCTAAACTCTACTCCATACTACTTACAAACCACCCAAACTTCTGTTGACTTCTTTTAAATTTTTTAACCCCCCGGGGACAAAACATATGGGAAGTATATTCCAAACAACTAAGACAAGATCAGAGATGGGGCAGTACGACCAGACAACTAGACTTTAACACGAGGAATTGAACCCAAGTCTATGACGGGGTAAGCTAGTACCTCAACGTTTATTTCTTTTTATTTTTCCGTTTTCATTTTAATGGAAACCATATTCCAGCTTTTTCATTTTCAGTTTATGCATGCATTAAAATCAAATTAAGAACTTATACTACATGCAACTCTAGAACGGTGAATTCAACTATCAGACGTTAAAAACTCCATTTTAAGACTAATTCTGATAAAACGATATAGAGAAAAGATTTCATTCACTAAATATTTTTTAATTATTTAAAAGTCGTTCGTTAATTTATATGTTTTTAAAAATGCCAAATAAATTTATTCATTTAGTCTCGGGGTTCCGCCAAATGAAGGTCGATTATTTAGGGTTCCACAGTCGAAAAAATTGGAAACTACTGGATTAGAAAACGGCCTTCGATCAGCAAAAAAAAACCTTTAATGTAACAAATGCAATTACAATTTCAGAGAATCAAAACCTTTAATAACTTATTCAAAAAAAAAAGTATTCCTTTGTATTCTTGAAACCTAAAAATGTGAATACATTAATATGGAGAGAGAAGTAACTAAATTGACTGATTAGTTCTTAACTTATTTCAGTCTCCGATTTTTAAAACTCCGTTTTGAGAAAACAGAATTCGAGTATGACTTGCATATACTAAACGGAGTCAACTTATAATTGCTGAAACCTAAGATTGAAATTTTTAAAACAATTGTCGCATTGTCTTAAAACCTAACAATTTCAAATTAAATTTCATTTCTTCAATGAGAAACTGCTATATTCATTAATTGCGTGCTTAAACAACTGCATTTAATAAACTTCAATGTTAAAACTTAAAACAGAGCACTAAAACAAAGGTATAATATTTGAGTTGCATTTTTGATTTTGATAAAAATGAGTTTAACATTTATTTAAAATCATTATATCTATTAATATTTTTTATTGCCAAACAGTGTAAAAACTAATTAAATTTAAGAAATCCAAAATTTAACTTAATCGCCATAAATAAAAATTTTATTTCTTTTCCAACTTAGAAAATAAAATGTTCAAGTTTACAAAACTGCAATTCCATCTAAACAAGATTTGTTACCAGATTCTTTTATTTCAAATTTGACATCGCTAAATCTATCAAATAATTAAAGAAACATAGAACTCACCAAATTTCCTTATTTAAATAACTGAATCTAATCTTAATATCTAAATTTATCTTAATTTCAAAACTTCGATTTTCTAATATGAAAAAAACAACGCGATGAGAGGGAAAATACGCCAGAAAATGCATGTATATGTATAAGATTTTTGCTGTCATTGGTTAAAATAGCATTGACGTCACGACAAATGATTAACTAGCATTAAAAAAAATTTTTTTTTTCCGAATGAGCATAACAATTCAAGTGATAGAGATTTTTTTATTTTATTATTATTTAAACCACGTGGTCTTAGAAACTTGCAATTGACTAATTTAAAGAAACTGGAAATTTGATACTCGGCAGAATTTTAATTACGTTAGACCGTAAAATGATAAATCCGCCAAGGACTGAAATTAACTTT